CCAATACAGGCCTGTGGCGTCAGCTACCCCACCCCCAGCCTGCAGGGCAGCCCCGTCTACGTGGGGGGCAACTTCGTGGACTCCATGCCGGCCTCGGGCCCCATGTTCAACCTGGGGCACCTGCAGCACCCCTCCTCCGCCAGCGTGGACTACAGCTGCGCCGCCCAGATCCCCGGCGGCCACCACCACGGACCTTGCGACCCCCACCCCACCTACACGGACCTCTCTTCCCACCACACCTCTCAGGGACGGATGCAGGAGGCGCCTAAGCTCACGCATCTGTAGCGGGGCGGCGGGGCCCGCTCCCCTCTCGATTACCTCACTTTTCTGACAGGACAGTGTGACTTTGCTCTCGAGTGCCAACAGTGTTAGTGGATTTGTGTCCCCTAGCAGCTCCCTTCTTTCTTCTCAGCCCCGAGTAGGTCCGTGAGCAGGAGCCTTTCTCTTAGAGCTGTGTTAAGCATGACAGTGCAATATACTGCAAACAGAGGGACTGATAAGCTGGTAATGATGTACTGGAAGGTAAGTCTTAGAGATGCTGTAATGTTAGCAGCGCGTCATGCTGAGGTGTTTTAGACCAGTCGTGAGCGGTGAGAACTCGCCCGCGTGTAAGCTTATTTCAGAAAAGTTAATTTATGAATCCTTCCGTAACGTAAGGATCGCATCGGACTAAATGATACGTATTTATTATTTTAAGCGAGACATTTTTGTATCACTGATTATTTATCCTCGTCTTAATGTATTTATGTGGGTATTTGTAGAGTTTCTTCACCAATACTTCGGGAGAGCGATTCAGGTCCGTGGTGACTTTCATTTCACCTATTTAGTATATTCGGTCTGAGCTAGTTGAGAGAGTAGTCTTGAACAGTTGTAACAGTGGCTGGTGTTTGTAGTTTATGTAAGGATTAATTAAGACAGCAAGTCGTAAGTCATTAATAGAGTAAAACAAACTGTGGCATCACGCTAAGAGCCGTTACAATTAGAAAACAAACAACCAACATATAGGAAATATTTTTAAAGTATTTATTTCTAACCATCTGCCCTAGCTGGAGCGCTCGGGTGGCTTGGCTGGCAGCTGGCTCGGCCGGGTGAAGCCACCTTTAGCTGGAAGCGCTTTGAGGAGGCGATCTACAAAGCAGGGTGCTTGGCCATCTTGTTTCGGATCAAATCCTGCATACAAAAACCTCGGTGAGGTTAACGTTTATTTATTGACTGGGTATCTATCGCACATATTATTATTTCGGTGGACTCTTTTCTTTATTTTTTTTTTTCTTTAATTTTAAAATTTTAGTTAGATACACTCTGGCTATCTGAAATAGGAAAGAAATTAGAAGCTTAGAAGGCAGAAAAATTAGAAACCCTCTGATAGTGCTAATTTCATTAGGGTCTCCATAGCAATCCGCGCAGCAGCTGCCGCCTCCTTTGTTATTTCTACTGTTGTCTTTATACTCGCCATAAATCAATTTTTAGACATCTTTGGAAGGCCGGGTTTTTCCTCTTGTTTTTCATAAAAATAAACTTTGCAAGAAAGTTGACAATCAGATACGTACAGCCGAAGGGGAGCCGCGGAGGCGGGGTGCGGGCACCGGCGGGGGCCGCCGCGCTCCCCCCGCAAGGACTGGCCCGTTCCCCCCGCCCCTGGGCAAGCGGGACCCCGCCC